AACTAGCAGGATTAAATCTCAATCTCAAACTTCTGGGGGAACATCAGGTCTGGAGATTAAAGCTTTTGAAAGTCAAAATCAACAAAAAGGAAAAGGAGTAGCAGGAAATAAACCGTCTGAACAACTTAAGCAAATTGGACCTTGTTACAAATGTGGGTTATATGGTCACTTATCAGCTACTTGCAGAAAGAATAATCCTCCACGAACTAATTTCATAGAAGATGAAAATGAGATAGAAGAAGAGGAGGAGAATGAAACAGAATCTGAAAATGAAGCTGAATTAGAAAATTTTGATTTAGAAGGAGATGAAAGTGAAAAGTCTTTGGTAATTCGACAAGTTCTAACAACAACAATTGACAAAGGGGATAGATGGCTAAGAGGAAACATATTCAAAATAACTTACACCATCAAAGGAAAAATCTGTACTCTTATGATTTATAGTGGAAGTTCAGGAAATTTTGTTTCTAAAAAATTGATCGACAAACTTAAACTCAAATCAAAACCACTTGCTAAATCCTATAAGATCTCTTGGTTCAAAGAAGGAGGTGAGGTTCCAATCACTAAACAATGCACTGTCAATTTATCAATTGGGGGATCATTCAAAGATCAAGTTGTTTGTGATATTGTGCCTCTTGAAGTTTGCCATATTTTGCTAGGACGACCTTGGCAGTACGACAACAAAGCTGTTCACAATGGAGAGAAGAACACATATACTTTGATGAAAAATAATAAGGAGTTTACTCTTCATCCACAAAAGAATGTGCCGGATTCAGCCGTTAAGAAAAACTCAGTTGCCAAAATGGGTGATCTGATCATTTTTTTACGTTGGTTTACTTTAATTTTCCTTTTTTGAATTTTATAGTTTTATGTTTCTATTTTAGTAATTGACAGATGCCTATGATGATTCCCTGTAGATAATGGATTGTATTATTTTCTCTTGTTTGGTTCTCTGTGTTGTTTTTGGCTCGGTTGGGTTCAACTTATTGTTTGTGCTTTTGGTTAAATTTGTTTAGCAATTTGATTTTCTGTGGATT